TGAATCTCACAGTTGAATCTGCTGGTTTTGAAGATGAAGATGAACTTTATTCACTGTGAAAACTTTAGATAATGTTTCTTTGTCATGTCACTTGTAATGGCTGGTTAGAAAAGATTTATCCAGATGATATTTTATTGCTTGCATTATTGTGTAACATTTGGTGAGGACGTGGCATCAGACCTGAAAGTGCTGGATCTGAAGATGATCTTCTTACTGTGATTGTTTTTTGTATGACTGTGTAGAGCAGATGAACGACTGAAATGTTTCCCACATGCAGCGCAGTGATACGGTTTCTCTCCAGTGTGGATCATTTTGTGTGTTTTCAGGTTTCCTGAATCACTGAATCTTTTATCACAGTGTGAATACTCGTAAGGTGTTTCTTCAGTGTGAATCCTCTGGTGCTGTTTCAAATGTTTAGCTGAAGTAAAAGTCTTTTCACACTCACAGCACATGTACTCTCTCATAACAGTATGTATTTTCTGATGTACTTTTAAATTTTGTCGAAATGAAAAACTCTTTCCACACAAAAAACATGAATGTGGCTTCTCCTTTGTATGAACTCTCAGGTGTTTCTTCAGGTCTGGAGCTCTCAAAAATGTTTTGCCGCACTGATCACATGCGTGCTGCTTCTCTCGTGTGTGAATGTTCATGTGATCCTTAAGGTTTGCTGAGTGAGTGAAACTCTTTCCACACTGATCACAAGTGAATGGTTTCTCTCCCGTATGAATTCTCATATGTGCCGTAAGGTTTACTTTTTGTGTGAAACTCTTCCCGCACTGATCACATGTGTACGGTTTCTCTCCAGTGTGAATCCTCTCATGTGTTTTCAGGTATCCAGACTGACTGAATGTCTTGTCACAATGTGAACACTTGGATGGTTTTTCTCCAGTGTGGATGATCATGTGTTTCTTAAGGTTTACTTTTTGTGTGAAACTCTTCCCGCACTGATCACATGTGTACGGTTTTTCTCCAGTGTGGATCCTCTCATGTGTTTTCAGGTCTCGAGACTGACTGAATCTCTTGTCACAGTGTGAACACTTGTACGGTCTCTCTCCAGTATGAACTCTCATGTGACGCTCAAGACTTGGTTTGTTTGTCAAACTCTTTCCACACTGAGTGCAGGTGAAAGATTTCTTGGCTCTTCTTTTCTTTAAATCTTTCTGTTTGGTTTGAGAGCAACTCAAAGGTTTTTCTCCATTTTTCACATGATTTTTCTCCTCAACTTCACTCAATTTTTCTTTCTCGTTGTTTTCTTCAATCATCTCTGAAATAAAAGTAAAAATTATTCATTTTCAGTAACTCTTAGTAACCCTGATGTAACAGTGTAAAGTAGACATTTGCTATACAACTTTTTTGGTCATTTTGATGCATTTTTATAGAGAATGTGAAGCTACATCACGCGCGTTGCATGCTGGGGCGCCACCGCCATTCTGGGAGGATCACTCTATGCTACAAATGCTGAAATTAATACGGATACCTGCTTATCTTGTTTTTGCCTTGAAGTTAAATATTCACATTCTTCATTGGATCGTTTGCAGAGAAGAGAAAACTAGTTTATCGCTTCGCATGATAATCAGATTTTATCTCTTGAGTTTTGTAGAATTTTGTTTACAATGTTGATCTGATTAGCATGAAAACAGTGTCGCCCGCTGCTGCTTCAGCAGTCATATGGTAGATTATCCAAATATAGTGTTTTTTCAACAAGCTGACAGAAGTTGATCCATTTCTTTGTTGGATACGTTTTAATGAAGTATAAGTGTCATTGTAAATATTCATTTTTCCGTGGCCACGGAGGAGAATCAGAGATTGTGGGTCACATCAGCAGACAGACAGAAGCACACAGTATTTTTATATTTATTTCATCAAATGACAAATAAAATGAAATCCCTGGAAGCTTGTGAACAGTTTTGTAGCATTTTAAAATGCTGGCTTAATGTAACTTAGTAAAACAGTGATGCAGATGGGCCCAGAATATTAACGCAACTTGTTTAAATACACAAGCGTTTTCCTACCTTTAGAAAAATGAAGAACACGCTTATGCATTAAGGTTTTGGCAGTGACATAAATTTTGTGTTTTGCAAAGTTTGCTGCTTAAGCTGTTGTGGTGTTCATTCACATTGTTTCTAGATTATTGTGTAGAGTGATCAGATGCATTTTAAATAATTACTAAAAGTTTAATTGTAGGGCTGCACGATAAAAAATTTCATATATGATCGTGGTTTTGCGCGGCTTGTCAGTGAACAACAGCTCTGTGTAGTAAATGCTGCTTCATGTGAAAGCACGCACGTGGGAGATTTACCGCTGATTACAGAAGCGGCTTTACTGTGACAAGATGCATTAAATATCGCATGCGATTTATCGTGCAGCCCTATTTAACTGGCCAAAAAATTAACTTTACATAAAAAAACAAATTTCACTGTTTTTGATCCTGACACAAAATGACCAGCTAACATTAATTGACTAATCATATCAGCAGCATATGTGAAAGTGTGAATGAGTACTAGTCAGGT